CCAGTATGAGCGTTCCATAAACTTATTCAGTTTTCAAAATGTCTTTAAGAAATTGTAAGACAGGCTAACTCCATAATTTTCAGTATTAAAAAAGGGCTTGTTAATTTTCTGCTTTCTGGCAAGTATAATTAGACATTTATTAAATTTTTGGGAATTAAAACAAAAACCCAGTTCTTTGGTTAGCAGATAGTCTTGAGAGTTCAAATCTGTTGTAACTTGCCTGAAATTTCAATATAGAAAGCCAAAAGGGCCATTCTACTAGTAAGGAAGCAGTTTTGGAAGTTTGCCTTTCAAATGTTTGCATTGATCAGTTAAAATCAGAGAGGTGATGACTGTACTTCGGTTCACGCTTTTATGAAGCAGTAATTTCTGAACTCTTTCCTTTTGCACATCTGCTGTGTTTCTGCATACGGTGTCCTTAATTTTCCTCAGGAGGAGGGCTGTTCCTTGGCTTTCAGGTGTCTTAAAGCAGAGAGACAATTTTAACAAATCTAGATTATAGCTACAGTATTTTTTTTTTTTTAAAAAAACCAACCCTTTGTCTTTATCAAGCATTTATTGTGGTAAATCACTTCAAAGGGCTATAAATGAAATAACTCAAAATATGCAGGTTTCTGTTAGTTAAAACATTGTTTTCTAATTTTATATCACTGTTTTTTTTAAATTTCATTGGTTAAGCCTCTTATCCAACTTCTTGGATATGCCGATTTTCTTAGAAAGCTTTTGGAGTAGGATAAATGTAAAACATTAAAGATTATCAAAAGCTGCAGAGATACATCCATAACCCAGATTTTGCACCTGAAAAAGTAGAAAAAGTTTCAAAAGGATGCAGGTCCATGTGTATATGAGTGAGAACTATGGAATTTTTCGGTCAGATACTCAAAGAAGTTGAATAAAGAGATAAAAATTTAATGCTGTACAGGTACTCAATTTATCTTACACAATTTATTTCTTTCATGAATTCTTTTTAGTCATGAAAAGCTGAGTTATTACATTTAGTTATGTAATTTAGTGGCATGGTCACCTTGGAGGCTAAGATAGCCTTTACTCAAGCCTCCATGAACAAATACACACCTGTCATTCTTTACTGAAACAAGTCACAGTCAAACACAGCCACTCTCACCTCTATTTTTCATCCATCCCTGGTCCCTGGGATGCTGACTTCTCCAGTTAAAGAAGCTAATTTGGGTTCCAAGCCTCAGGTCTCCTGTTTGTACAGAGTAAGAACCTGCATGGAGAGTCATAGAGGAGCTTTATTATTGGCATAGAATCACCATGGCAATCCACCTGTGTATTTGCAGCGATACTGTGAGCTAGTTTTTCCAGGCTGGGTGGACTGAAATGATCTCAAGAGGAATTTCTGAAGATCTGTGGTCCAGAAGATACTTCCTTCCTTACCTCTATGTCAAGTTTCAATAAGCTGTTGAAAAAAGAAACTTGACAAATACAAGTTTATGCTTATGCTTGTATTTGTCATCTCTCATTATGAGAACACTGTTTTATAGACAGAACAGAAACTTTCTGTATTACAGCCACTTGACTCAAGACAGATTTATTTCACTTAGCAGTAGGCTCCTAATTACACCTACTGTTTGTGTACGTGCTATCTCACTCCTGTTAACGGCTTCTAAGTATCAAGTCAACAGTCTTGATACCTCAGCCCAAATGTTTGCTCTGTCATTTTAGGTTGAACTTAATGCTACAGTGCCTACCCTTTAAGATGAACAGATGAAGCTGAGACAGGTGGAGGATCAGAAAAAAAGCATTCCAAGGCTAGTATGAAAAAAGCCTTGGAGAGAAAGAAAGCCTTGGTGATTTTTTTTCTTTAAGCCAGAGAAACAAATCCTTCATTTTCATACTGCCAACATAGAGCTAGTTGTCCATGCTCCCACAAAGCTGTAAGAGCTTTGTGTCAGGCAGTATTATGATATATGGAATATCCAGTCAACAGTAAAACATCTGCATGCATGACAACAGGACTTCACTGGTGTAGTGCATTACTGGTCCTTAGATTTTTTTTAATATACACTACTGTATTGGAGAAACCCAACACCCAACAGTTTTGCAGCTTCTTCTGGATCCCCTCAGTGAATGTTACATATTATGGACTGAAAGAAACTGCTAGGAATGTGAAGAGGAGAGGAAATGCATGTATAGGCTCAAGTCTGTCTCTCCTTGTCCACAATAAATAAGGAAAAACTGCCAGGCAACAGTGCCCTTCACTAACCTGTTAATGAGATTAGGAATAAATACTAGAGCAAACAGGGAATACAACAGGAGGTAAGCATATAAAACTGCTGGGAAAAAAAAAAATCTCGTAGATAATAGTCTAAAGCTTGTGGTTTTCAATTGGTTACCAAGAACCATGGTTCTCATGCAAGCTCACCTTACCTGAGCTGGAGAGCTTCTAGCTGTGCTGGAGGTGGATGGGTTTGATGGGAGGAGACCATCAAGAATTTTGAAGTTGAGATTTCAGATATCACAGGGAATGCATTCAGAGCAGCCATTTATATGGCCTATTATGGAGACTTTATAGCACTATGGAAGAAGCTAATGATTAAAAATAGTCTTTCTTTTCTTTCTTTCTACAATGTTCTTGTGAAACATATGCAAGACATCGAAGCCTTGCTGAAGATGACATAGACAACTTCCACTCCTCTCTCCCCATCTACCCAGCCAGTCATGCCATCATAGAAGGCTATCAGATTGGTCAAGCATGAGTTCCTCTTGCTGAATCCGTGTTCACTACTCCCAATAAACTTATTTACCTCTAGATGCCTAGAGATGGCATCCAGAATGAACTCTGCCACCAGGGATGGAGGTGAGGCTGACTGGCCTGTTGTTTTCTGGGTCCTTCTTCTTGCCATTTTTGAAAACTGGAGTGACACTGTCTTTTCTCCATTCCTCAAGCACTTCTCATGTACTCCATGATCTTTCGAAGGTGATGGAGAGTGGTGCTGCAATAACATTAGCCAGCTCTCTCAGCACTTGTGGGTGTATCCCATTGAGGTCTGTAGATCTGTGGGTGTCAAGTTTGCCTAAATGATCTCTAACCCAATCTTCATCAACCAAGGAAAGTCTTCCTTTCTCCATACTTTCTCTGTCACCTCCAGTGTCTGCGATTCCTGAGGGCTGGCCCTAGCAGTAAAGACTGAAGCAAAGAAGGCATTCAGTAACTTCACCTTCTCCATGTGCCCCGACACCAGGAGCATTCAACAGAGGGCTGACATTTTCCCTAGTCTTCTTTTTGCTACTGATGTACTTGAAGGAGCACTTCCAGTTGTCCTTGACATCCTTAAGCCATTGAGCTGCACACAGAACTGAAGTAACTGCAAGAAATGCAGAAGTTAAGTGAAATAACAAACAGGTCACTGTAGTCAGGACCTCAAATACCTTTAAGGTTCTTTTTAGAACATAAATCCAAGCAGTTATAAATTCATTGGTGTGATGATCTAATCTTACAGCTAGAGAGGTAACACTACAGTGAAGTCTCTACTTAAAGGGAGCATCATCACCAAATGAACAGCAGAAGTGTAAAAGCTGAAGCACCTTAACCTAAAAGAAATAGCTGCATATTCCTTCAGTTTGTGGAACTACCAGCTTCACCATTACCTTTTAGTTGGAAGCACTTTCCATTGAGGATTGTGGTCCTGCTTCTTTCTCTGCAACAGTGATGGTGGGAAGGATCCTATCACGCAGATATGGGAAATGTTAATTTTAGTACACTAACACTGGAAGAACAGGAAGTTGAAAGTCACCCAGAGAAGATAATAGATTGTTGTCTTCCTTTAGTGAACATTCAGAAAAGAGCTGTGTAAATCCAAAGAGAAAAGTTGTCCATATCAGACCATGCCCTTTTGTAGCTCTGCTGTGATCAGTAGACAAACTAAAATCACAACAACAGAAGTGTCATTCCCATCCAGAGTAGTGAGGGGGAAGAAGCTGCTACTGAGAAAAGTGCTTTTTTGCCCCTATCTTCCAAAGAATTGGCATAATTGGATTATTTTTTATTAATATATAGACATTATATTGCAGTACTTATGGACAGCAAATTGATAATAAACATTGTTATATTAAAATTTATCAAAATAAAATTAGTCTTTTACATACTCTTAGCAAAGCCATACCAACAAGTTGGAAGGGGGACTGTACTAATAGATTTTTCAAAAAATACTACTTCAGTAGTGTAGAGTGAATAAGAAATCTGAGCCAAATTAAATCAGTGGCAAATTTTCTCCAGATTATGCAGAGATGAGATTTTTGCCCTAATTACACAGAGTTAGTCAGTATTAGATTAGCAGCTGTGACCCAAGAGATCAGGGATATTTCAAATTAAGTAGTTTCAAGATGACAGCAACAGTTAGGCAATGGCAGAAGTAAGAAGGCAGAGTTAATGGTAGATATGATTGTCAGCGTGGAGAATTAATTATTTTTACAACCTCTAAACCAACATTTCATATTAAAAAAAATATGTTCTGGGAAAAATAGATCAGTCACTGCACTAGTAAGAGCTAACATGATGATAGTTTATTTTTGTAAATACAATATACAGCATCATAAGATTGTGGAGATATGTTTGTCAAATCTGAGAAGTGAATGTCACAGTCGCACTAAACAAAAATGAGAAAACACAAATATACTGAAAACAACAAAATGCTGTAAAGCTTACAGTAATCAATGATAATTTAAATCATTAACAATATCTAAAAGTTCACAAATTCATAGTTATACATTGATACTAGTGTTAACTTGTAATAAATATACTGTAGATTTGAATTCTCATCTATCATTTGTCACAGATTAGGACAAAATTACACATGGAACTAGTCTATGAGATAAGTAACAGTTATAATTACCTCCCAAAAGTATTTTCATTCCCTCTGTGTATGTTAGGACATACAAGAACACTTCTCTATTTTAGACAAATTATCAAGCAAAATTACTGTCAATATTCAATTTTAAATTATCATGCTCATCTTTGAAATTCTTAAGTGAAATCCTTATGCAAATTCCTCTGAAACAGCTTCTATAAAATTTGGAGCAGACATAAGTATTGTAAATGTGCAAATGATGGCAAAAAGGGTAAATGCAATCAGGCATAATCTGTCTATGATAGCAGCTGCAAACTTCCACTCACTACAGATCTCTTCACCCTCATCTTGTTTCCTGAAGTGCATTGCTATGAACTGAACTTCCTCCAGGATCTTCACAATCACTGGGATAGTATCCATTAAATCTTCCTTTTGAAAAAGCTCAGTATCTTCTGGTAAGGTGCAAGTAATCTTTCTGCTCTTGCTACCCAGATCATTCTTCTGGGGGCAGCACAGATTTTCTATCGCATGGTAGCTACAGATCACGTTGCCACTGCTGGACTGGTGCCCAGGGAGGACACTCATCTCCATGCTCCTTACGCTCAGATGGTGCTTGGGACAATTAAATTTCAGGGGCTCTATATTTTCCCTGGGTTTTTTCATTCGTAAAAACCAAGCACACCAATTCAGCAGGATGATACGGACCTGAAAGAGAGTGATCAAAATAGAAATAATGGGAACTTTTGTGCATTTTGAAAGTTTTAAAAATATTTATTTATTATTACAATTAATTGGTAGGATACTTCAGAAAGACCAACTTCTTTTTGTGTTCTCCAGCTATCTACTTTCCAGTGGGGTTTTCTGGAGCCTGGCTTCTTCCCAGAATGACCTTTTTTTTGGATACATCTTGAACATAAGAGATGTTCAATGCCCACTTAGCTTATAAAGCAAAAGAGATGTAAAATCTTACTTTACAAAATTATTCTTGAAGTCTTATCTTTATTAATCAGATCTCTCTAATTGAGCAGAAGGCACAAAATTGGCTGGATGGTTTTCAACCATTTCTCAGATAGCATGGAAAAAGATACACATAAATATTTGGGAGGCCAATGTTTAGATTCTGTTGAAAAAAACCCTATACAACAGACTAACAGCTGTTTTTAGCACATTCTCCATCACCATCTCTATTGTTTAAGTCTAAATAAACACCAATTGGTGGTGGTTTTTTTTTTATTTGAAAGCATTTTAATATTCCTTTGAAAAGTTCAGTCACATAATACAGCAGGACTTTTTTCAAAAGAAAAAAGGTAAATCAATTAAACTGGGCAGTTCAAAATTTGAATGCTGCTATTAACTCCTGTCATTTCCCCGTGCTCTGCTGTGCATCTGCTCTGGTGCATCACAAGAGTGCTCTAACCTGCACAGATTGTGCCCCATATGTTTCTTGTCAAGGTCATCAAATGAGCTAACTCCAGAGAGTGCATCCAGCATTTTTTCCCAGTGAACTGATCTTCAGATGTTTTGTTTGAAATCTGAGGCTGCTATTGTTAACATTGTTTGCTGTGAAAGGCAGCAAAAAGGCTATGAAAACAGCAACATATTGTGTGAAGGGCAGTAAACTAAATCATTCACATCTTGTAATTATGTCCTTCAGGTATTACATATACAAAATAGACACTTGCAATGTGCTTGTGAGGGTCCTTCCAAGAAGATAGGTGACCTCTTTTAATGACTTCTATCATTCTGATTGCAAGTCAAATAATCTGATGCCCAGGACAGAACAGATATGACCTCTGGTTTCACTTCTGAGCTTTAACCCAGGATGCCCTGTGTGGTCCTGCTTCAGTCACTTTGGCCATGTTTGACTCAGTCCACACTTTGCCTCCAGGGTTGTTTTGGATGTAGGCTGAATTATCGCCTGTGTTTGCACAGTACAGATGCAGGGAAGGAGAAATTACACCTAGCACTTTGAATTGCTGCTGTAGTGACAAGCATGATGTCAGAAAGGAGGAGGCATTAATTACCACAGATGGGAATAATAATAGTAAAAGTAAAAACCAATAACCAGCAGAAGGTGGTTACACAGTTTTAAAATTCTGTAGTGAGAGCTCTTCTGGGTCACAGCCCCATGCCTTTTTCTGTGAGCCTTCCTGCTCTCCCACTGATGAATCTTTTACTCTTAATCCTGAAAGACTATTTTCCTGTGATTCATATTATTCTGCTTTCACTGCAGTCTTTAAATATTTCATTATTTCCTCCATGGTCACCGCACACAAATAAACCTATAACGTAGCAGCCTAAAAAATTGGTCCTGGATTTAACTGAATTTACTTAACTACAATTTCCTCTGACTTCTTATGGACACAAAATGGTACATCATGGAATAAAATAAAGGCCTTAATTGCTAGCAATATTTCAACAGTGTCAGTGGCAATGGAGAGAGAAAAATTAATTCTCTAGTACTGTGCAATTCCAAAATACTAAACCAGACAAATTTTCTTATTAGGAAACGTTAATATGTCTGCCTTAGCTCTGGAAGGAGACATGAAATGAAAAAGCTCTGTTCTACAGGAATGCTACTTTTTCTTTCAAGAATTTTTACTCCATAGGGAAGTTACTTATTTTCCCATAGGAAAATAAATACACAGAAGACAGCAGAGAGCAACACATCTTTTAATATGCTTGTACTTCCAAATGCCCTATTTTCTTGAAAGCACACACACTCAGACATCAATCTGTTCTTGTGACACTAATTAATTTATAAGACGGCTGCAGCATAGAGGTTGTTGGAAACAGCCCAGGTACAATGGTATGAATCCATGTTCTTACCTGCATTACCATGTCTGGGTTTCTGTGAAGAAAGAATACAGGTACAGCTGTTGTCAGAGGTCAACAGCCTGCTGTGACTCTCTTCACCAAGGTTCTCATCTAACCATTATACAGCTGTACTGCTACTTCCCATCACAGCTACCTGCCTGGCCTAATTCCAGAGAGAAGAGTCTCCAATTAAAGCTCTCCTGATAAGGGACATCAGCATCTGAGCAAATCTGTGGATGTCCAAATTTGAAGCACATGAAAAACAGCCTGAAACATGGCATACCTGACTTAGGCACAGCAAAGAGCCAGAGTGCTCTTGTCTTTTCCTACAAAATCTTTTCTTCCCTCTGTGCTTGGTTTCTCTGTATCTCTCACCTATGCAGCAGTCAGTTGTTAGCAGAGGTAGGTCAATGGAGCTGTAAGCCATACCTGATGTTATCTACTCCCAAACTGCTCCTAGATGGACCTTCTTTAGTGCTCTTTTCCATGCTAGCTCAGCAGACATTACCTAACATATCCAATAGCCAGCAGCTCTCACTTCTCAACTGAGTATCCAACAAATGCCCTGATTGAACACCTGAACACCTGACCTTCCAAAGTCCTCTCTTGAAAAAAGTGGGCTTTAGTAAGTAAGTCGTCACAGATTAATAGAAAGGAAGCCACAATTCTCAGCAGTGGAGTAAGGGAAGAAGTGAACACCTACAGAGAGGCTCAATTCTAACACGCACACCTCCCTTGTCTGGTTCAAAGGCCAAGCAGAGAGCTCTTGAGACAAAGGCAGGGAAAAGAAGATGCTCAACTGGTTTAGGTGTTTAGGCAATACAGTCAAGCAGGTGTTTAGGCAATACAGTCAGTTGAATCTTCTAGGTCTGGAGCTGACCCCACACAAGCCCAATGTCTTCCCCTGCAATTTACTCCAGTAGCTAATTCCATTTAAGCAGGAGGTGAGAATACTCCTGTAACAATTTGTCAGGGTTACACCTTTGCAATAAACTGATGACTGGCTCTGCTAAAATGAGGAGGGTGTGAGAAGTAAGTAGATGGTAGAGTTATCTAATGGGACTGGAATTGCAGAGAACAAATTTCAGGTAAGTAATTTTTTTCTTTCTGCAGATAGCTATCTGATACCTTGGTTTTATTGAGCAAAAATCTTTCAGAGTGTCTCTGTAAGAAACACCCGACATAGGTGAGCAGGAAAAAAAAAAGATACTTTGCCATGAATCCTAATGACTGAGCCTTGCTCATGCCTTGCAGAGGATTAGCACCACTTTTGTGGGGTCAGCTTCTGCCCCGTGCACTTGGCATTCACTTTTTTTCCCTTGAGATATCTCAGCCCTGTTAGCTTCCCTGGCTAAAGCTTTCACAGTCTATCATCTGCACTTCCCACTAGTGCTTTCCACAGTCTTGGTTCCTGATGGTATTTTTTTAACATATGCCAATTCAGCTGTCAGACCATTGAACAAGGCTCCTCAGGAGTGAGGATGCATTGCACATTGTGTTTCTAGCCAAGAAAGAAAGAGACTGGTAGAGACCAAGAGCTGACTTGCAGTGCCTGTGAGCAGATTTAACATGAGCCATATGTGTCTAGCCTCTTTGAAAAGGAGACGAAACAATAAAATTGTCTATTATGCTGCTACATACCCCTTTCATGTAGACATCTGAAGCATGTTTACCCACATTTGTGCCCTCAGGTCTTGCTTACATGCAAGTACATCCAGAATTCACGTGCTTTGCTATCTTGAAAATAAGTTGACTTTAAATGATACAGCATTTAAATAAATGATTGTTAGTATGCTTAATTACTACTAGTATTTTTTTTAATTTGCTGCTGTTTAACTGCACTATGCCGCACTTTATTTTTAGAGATGCTAAATTAGAAAACTGTTCTGTACTGAGGCTGATATTGGTAATGATGTAACATTCAACATCATGTCAGGATAATTGTCTAGCATGACAAATGTGGTGAATGAGATACCAGAGGATGCTGTACAACCAGATTTAAAACCAAGGTGGGTAGTTGACTGTGACTATTTGTATCTCCTTCTGCTTCTGTTCCTTCTCCTTTTGTAAATACAAAGCATACCTTGTTTATTCTAAAATCTATTATTAAGAAAAGAAGAGAGAAAAAAAAGCATCATTTTCTTTTCACTTGAAAATCTATAGGAAACACATTCCACCTGAAAGCCAGCTGGCATTGGTGCCAGACCTCACTGGGCTAATAGGGTTTGCTGCTGTAGAGAAAAGAGGGTCCACATGCTAATGCACTGAGAATTGATCAGATGACAGCAGACAAAACTGGCTTTCCACACAGACAAGTAGATCTGGTTTCATCAGAAGGCAGATTTCCAAGCCAGGGAAGTCCAGGAGTCTCCTCAGTACAATCAGACTGAGCCCAACAGTGAAGCCTTTCTGTTTCTGCTGGTGGCACAGTAGCAGTGAGCTCCAAGCTTTGAGAATCATAGCTAGGTTCAGTATTAAACACCTTCACTACACTGAGGTATTTGGGCTCCTGATCTTCCAGCAACTCACGGAGCCAGCTCACAACTGAAACAGTTGCAAGACAGAAGTGAATTTATTTCACTTTCTGTCTTTGTTTTGGGACATTATAACTCTATCAAGAACTGCAGTAAGAAACCCTGTGAGGGAACAAAGCAAACAAATTGCCTCTCAGAGACCAGTGTTTGTTTAGTGCTTTGAAATGTCACATTTTATCAGTACTGGTGTCTACTGAATAAGAAATCAAAGGTGATGCCCATAGGGTTAGCACTTGCAAAGCAATTGCTGAGCAAGATTACTCTGCCATGACACAACTACTGCATTGTAAATTTAAATAGAAACCCCAAATAACAGATACTGGTTTTAATGGAAAACCAAATTTAATATGTTTATTCTTTCCCTCCAATAGCAAACACAAGTGTCACACATAGTGTCTGTAACTGACTCTTCAGATTAATGGGGAACAACTTCTGCCCCTCATCTATAACTAGTTTACTATAGCTTTTAGATGATTTTTTTCTTGCAATATTCTTTCTTGAGTATTTACCGTGAAAGTTGCTTACCCATTTGGGCATCTTTCCTGCTTGTGGGTCATGATGATGGAACTGTAGAACCAGCACTGTTACCACCACAGACAGACCAATGATGACCATGATACTAGCAAAATACTGAGCTGCAAGTAGAAGGAGGAATTGGTTAGGAGGGGATGAAACAAACAAAAGACAAATAATACTGCTTGAGCATGCACTGAGATCTACATTTGAGAAGCGCTGCATCATATCCAAACATCCTCTTCTCTGGTCTTCCACACTGGAATATTTGAGGCCTTTGAGGTTTTCAGTATAACTGCTCAGCTCCCTCTTCTCCATTGAGGGAAGAGCTAGAACCAGTGGAAGGTGTAACCTGCTTGGATTTTGTTCCCAAAGGAGAATGTAGGGCCCCCTGCTAAGGACCTGCTCCCTGCCTGCTGCCAGGACAATGAAAAGCTGAGCTGACCAGACACACTGAACACCAGCAACCCCAGTCCTGAGGCCCTGGAGGGAAATGCTGTTCTCATGGTGTCACTAGACTCCCTGAGGAAGAGTCACCAGACACCCACCCTCACCCCACCACTGCTCACAAGGGGTTAGGCATATTTTTCAGCACCCTCCTCAGCCCCCCAGGCCACTTCTTTTGGTTCCTACAAAAGCAAGGTACACTGTTGCTGAGTATTATATTTAAGCCTGCTATGTAGGAAAGAAATAAAGATTTTGAATGTCAGAACTGAGACTTGACATCATATCTCCTAAGTGGCAATATAGCTTCCTCAAGCCAGGAGTGAGCTTGATGCATTGGAGTGTGAAGAGGAATTACCCACAGGGCTAATAACATTTGAAGGCCACTGTGGCAAAATTCCAGGGAGCATTACTGTTGGCTGATAGTATGAGGCAATGTGGGAGAGCACATGACAGTGCTCCAGACTGCAGCCTCCTCCCACCCTCAACCCTGCCTCCTGCAGCTTGCTGGAAAAGTAAAAAATGCAGTACAGGCTCCAAGGTAAGTTTTGTTCCAGCTCTGTTTCTTAATACTATTTCCCACTCCTTCAGCATCAAAAAGTTTGTTCATAATGAGGTTCTCAGGCCTTCCTGAAACCAATGCTGCAATTGCTTTAAGAGGCGGGCATGGCTTTCCATTGCAAAATGAATTATGCAGCTGGATTAAAAGAATAGTCCTGAGGGTGAGGTGAATTTAAAGGTCTCTGACGCACTTATGAGAGAACAGAGCCAACAGCCAGGCAGAAGCAGAGCAAACCAGCAACTTGGTCACATAGAACAGAAACACAGCAGTGTTGACATCACTGGTTTAATTACTTCCTTAAGCCACTAAATAACTTTTGTAAATTCTATGCATTTTGAGGCCACCAGCCTTCAAAGGCCTAAAGTGGTCACTTTAAAATAGCTTTGGCCAAGAATTTTCACAGGTCCTTGGAAAATTGGTCACCTGGTTGAACTTGAGAAAAACTTAGTATTATCTGACTCAAGATCCCAGCCAATGATTAGCAGAGGAAATCATACTCTCAGTTTTTTTGCTGTAAAGCCAGCAACAGAGGTCAGAAAACTCTGTGGAGACCTGCTAGGAAATAAGTAAAACAGGTCTCTCAGGAGCAGACTGGGAACTGTGGGGGACCTGTGTTCCCTAAAGAACTCCCCATAAAGAAAGATTTTTTATGTTTTTGCCTGGTAATAGGCAAGGAAGATGGTTGGGTGTGCATCAGCTGCATTTTGTGAGGGATTCTTCTGTTTAAGGTACAGTGAAGTTTTCAGTAGGAAAGTGAGGATGGAGGAAATAGGTCATGGTACTTCAACCCTATTATCTGTGCCAGACAATCAAATGTCACAAGATACCTGTGAAATGAGAACTGGCAGGTAGATTTATGCAGCCCAGGTAGGTGCAGATGCTGTATACATTGCAGGGGGAGAAAGCCCCAAAGCCCTGGAACAGCCCGGACCTACTCTAGGGCTGGATTTTGCCAGCCATGAAGAACCAGCAGTGAAACAGGAGGAAGAAAGTAGCAATGGCTGGCACACCTGTCATATTAGACTTTCACATCTGTAGTTGGAGATATGGTAAAGGCTGTTGCCCCCTTTCCTGTGGCAAGACAAGGTAGATCTAGTAGCCATTGTTCACAAAGGAATTGCTAGATCTTCTGCATGTGGTTGTCTTTGAAATGACTCTGTCCTTACAATCCAGACCCTGCATTGGGGTATAGCCACAAGTAGGGGTAGCCAAGACCTAGACAGGCCCAGGTTCAGTAATGGTTCAACTGTAAGGAAAGGAAAGGCCCCAGAACTGAGTAGGCAAATTCATGCTGGCTCTGAAATGGTATCCATACCCACTGAGCATTTCCTGATCTATCCTTTCAAGGTTTAATCCTACATTGCTTATTCCTACCAGCACAAACACATGATCCTCCTGCAGCAGTCAAGAGAACTACTGGGGAAGAATCCTGTGCTGTCTCCCATACACCTCCCTAAAACCATGGCTTAATCCTCCTCCAGGCTGCTGGTTTAGCATCTCTGATCCTGGCAGTCTTTAGCCCTCCCACCAGCCAGAGCAAACCCATCACCTGGTGAAAGGTACTGTCCCTTTTCACCTATAGCACTCTTTCTGGTATGACCATGACTCAACCTTCTCCAGCAACTCTGTGAGCAGAGGAGCCTAGCCGCTGAAAGGATCCAGCTACACAGTGCATAGATAACACCTTTCTTGGAGCCATAGAACTTCAGTCTGCACTCATTCTACCCTAGCCCCACACAGTCCTGAATTAGCAGACTCTATTTCTGGGCCTCCACCAATGTTGCTGAGCATAGGAATAAGATGCTTTCCTGTGAGATGTGACATAGGAGACAAACAGTGAAGTAGGAACTGAGCTTTTGTCTCCCAAGCAGCAGCCATAATCCAGCCACCAGACTTTTTTCACCAATATTTTAGGGTCTGTCCTAAAGCCTGCAGCACTTGAGCGGTTAGGGCTTTGAAACTGCTGGTCCTATAAAGTCCTACTCCCACATGTGTCTGTTGGCAGATGTAAATGCAAATCTGATTTTACGAAGAAGCTCAGCCCCTTTCATTTAAACTGCAGAAGGGAAATTCTCAGCAATTCTCACTAAGCATCTCTCTGTATCCTACTTAAGAGCTCCTGGTTGCTAGTTTGTCTTTGGTATGGATGAGTCAGCTTGGATGCTTTAACAAATTATTTCACCATGGGCAGCGTCAGGAACAGCAGTCCCAGCTGGAGTGAATTTAAAAGAGGAGAGGCCTGGTTGTTGTATGCCAGCTGCTCTGAGGCACAGCTGGGAAGCAACTGACCCTTTCTGGAGGGGAATTGGCTCATTTGCACTCTCTACCCTGGACAGCTGCCACAGGCCAGGAAAAGGGACCAGAAGACTTGTTTTTGGAGCCCTTCAATATTGCTGACTTACACAGTAACATTCCCCAGAGATACCAAGGTCTGCACTGGTCACCGCTAGATGATCTTCATGTGTTTTTAAACCTGCGTGCTGCCTTCTTCAGCAGTTGTTTGTGAATGGAAAACCTGTTTTGGATGCTCAGTTGGTCTCTTTCAAGTAGTATGAAGTATTTGTGCTTCTGCAATTTATTTTTACACCTGGACAAGTATTTTAACATCTGGGGGTTGTCAGCCTCTGTCTCATCACTGTCAGAAGATGATCAGGTACTGCTGTCATAGCAAATATGGATCTAATACAACCACAGGTAGCCAGAAAGTGTTTTTTAAAAAATCAGTGACAACAGTTAATTGTTCTTGCAGTCATCCTCTGACATCATCTCCATCAAAAGGATGACAATGACTTGGAATTCATAAATTGAGAGGTTTCCAATACCATTTTTGGACCTTCTGTGCCATTATCTGATATTAGAGAAGGACCTTAGGATTATTTTATATATATTTTGGAAGATCTGCTGCTTGTGTGGAACTGTATTAACTTTAAGGACTGATTAGAAACAGAGTAAATAAAACAGAAACCCTAAAATGAGCAAGATTATTCCAGATGGTTGCTTTGCTGTGTTGATTTTATCACTGAACACTGACTGAGAAAGCAGCATATTATCCAGATTTGTTAACATAATTAATCATAGGATAGGCAGAGCTTCTCCATTGTGACCAGTTACAGTCTTGTTGTTCCTACAATTGTGGGGGAAGGAGGAGAGTGTTGTGCTTAGGTATTCACCATGATCAAGTTGGATACCTCCCACTGGTGTTCCCGTTTGTATTCCTTCTTTGCAGGAAACATCAGGTTTTGCATGTGAAATGATGGACTAGTTTAAAGCTGCTCTAAGTCAGGTCATTTTAGTCATTAAGTGCCAAGTACTTCTGCTGAACTCTCAGAAAATGGGAGAAGTGTCCCAAAGCATGCACAGAATTAGATATTCACTGCTCTAGCTTCTTGAAATGGTCCAGGTTAATTAACTGAAGGATATGGGCGATGCAGGAAACCTCAAACACCAGCAGAGTGGCTTCCAAACCACACTCCTTTCCTCCTATGGCAGGGACCAGGGCTGGTGCTGAGCAGATGCTATTGCACTCTACAATGGATGATGGCAGTTTCTCAGAGACCAGTGAAACCAAAAGACAGAGAGGAGGTTCCCTTGCTGTCTGATCTACTGTTGTACACAGACAACAAAGAAACAAAGAAGAGTGTTTCACTCACAGTAGAATATGAGAGCAGCATCTCAGTCCAGCTGGTCTCTCATAAACATGAGCTGTCTTACAAGAGTGAGATACTTCAGAAGTGGACTCTGTGTCTACCTTTTGGTTATGGTACTTGTAGAGGGCACATGAGAAGTGTTTTTGCCGTGTTTCCAAACTCTTCTCCTCCTACATGCTTTTGAAGAACAGAACTAGGTGTTGGAAGAGTAAAATTGGTTTGTTTTGTTTTAATAAAGAAAAAGCAGCCAAGACTCCTGGCTTTGGGAAAAGCACCCTGATTACAGGGCATGAAAATGTAAGAGCTGCTGTGAATGAGAATTTCTGTTTCATGGAAGAAGCTAAGCAGGGTCCTGGCACCAGCAACTCACCAAGCTGGACCATGAAAGAGAGGGGGGAAAAGCACTCAAAAACATAAAAAAAGAGACAGAATAAGGTGAAGTGGCAGCAGCTGAGGACATACAGGCAGA